CTCCTTATTCAGACAACTAAAGCATAAAACTTCGAGGAAACAAATTTTGTAGTGGTACCTATGCGATACGAAAAAATCACGAACCTTGATCCTATTCAGTGGATTTCATACAGCGTCAAGCAGGAGAAGTTTTTTTTCTTTTGCATCACCAGGTATGTGAACGCTCGGGCTCCACATGAGACATCATAATGGGCGGAAGTGCCTCGTCACGTCCATATCCGAACTTTGCATCTCATCTAAAGCTCATCCTTGCAGACGTAGACGCATCGGAAGAGATCAATCAGGTTGGTATAATAGGCATATCTGCCTTCAAGAGGGCATTCATGTAACTGCTGTATCAACAGCATGACTATGTGCTATTCTAAGGTAATCTCCTTGTAGCCTAAAATAATGCAAATTTGTGAGTTTCTGTCTTCACGCTAGGTGTTTGGACAGACTAGCATTTTTGTGACATTAAACTTTACATTTGTCACGTTAAGTAAAGGTGTGATGAAAAAAATTGTCGACCGTGGTTTTTAGAGTATCTATTAATACTAGCATTTCCATGATCCAAATTTTATTTTCATGTAGATAAAATATTATAATAGAAGCTTCTGTCACATCCTAGTATAAACGCACCTAAGGTATAATACGCAGTACAATGCATGATTATCTAATCTGAGGTATCTGGCTACTGGTTTGCCTTCGAGAGGATCTCACTTAACAAAAGCCGTGCAACTTCCCTCCCGGAGATAACGACTTGTTCGATGGTCGTCCGAATGATCCTGCATATAATTCGTTTGCGAATGAGACAATCTGATTTCAGAGATGGGAGAGAACCTAGAGGAAGAGAAGATTGATGGGCTGTGAGGGGAGAGACTCGGACGCCAGGGTATGAAAGAAGACACGAGGAAAGCATCGCAGAAATCGTCCATAAATTGGTGCGGAGACCAAATGGAGACACTGGATGAAGAATATTCCGCCCGGGAAACTTTAGTCGATATTCAGTAACTCCTGGAGAAGATCAGACACGATGGATCCCGATCGATCGACGCTCTATGGCCAAATTTATCAGGACTCCAACGGGTTCTAGAAAATGAATCACAAAACTGTAGTTGAAAGGGTTCTGAATAAACTAAATCCAATTCCCTTCGAACAGTCTCCTTTACTCTTTCCTTTCCATTGCGACTCTGCAGGAGGTTTCTCACCGTGAATTTCACCTTGTTGACAATGGACACCAGAAACACAGCGTTGTATACGACCTCATGTTCGACCAGGAGACTTGAAACATTTTTCAGGATCAAATATAACAATTATATTTATTTAAAAAAATGACTGAAACAGGCTACCATGAAAGAGCATATACGTCAAGGGAGCATGTATGACGCATGAACAAAAGATCTTGGGGAGAAAAACCCCAGCCCTGATGTAATTGAAATCCAAACATGAGACTTATGGTACACCGTGATGTGAAATCAGCATTTTTCTCTGGAACTTGAGGAGGGTGAAGCAGAGAAACTGGAGTGAAACCTTTCTTGAATGTTCTGGCTTTTCCTGGCCACGATGCCCAATGGGTCAAGAAATTGAAACATGATGGAATTGGATTGTCTGTGTTCCTCATTCCATTATGAGAATAAGCGGAAGAATCTCAATCTGAATTATGGTTGAATATGAAAAATAATGGGAATTATGCATTTGATCTTTCAATCTATATTCATCTCTACCCCATTCAGTTAAGTTATACATACGTTTAAAAAAGAGACAATAGATGCAAAAGAATGATGTGCTGATATGGTATGAAAACGAAATAGCGAACAGCTTGTCTATTGCAAAAGGGATCCCAAAAAGATCTCACTTGAACAGGCACTTCCAAGTATCTTTGATAGGTCACGTTAATATCCAAAAAGATGAATGTAGATTGGAACATGAGGACTCCCTCTATCATATCATTCTGTTTGGAAGGTCCCAATGTCGCGAGAGACAGGTCAAAGCGTTCCCGCATCAATGCATTACCCTTTATCTGGTCTCAGGCACGAACGAATCTGCTCTCCCTCGCCGTCCGTGAGTTGATAGTCTTACTTTTCTGATACAAAGGAATATTTTATTTTGCGTCTCGGTCGCAATATCGTTATCAGGGGGGTATACTTCTGTATTCAAATAATAACATTGGAAAAGAGAGAGCATATATAATAATGAAGGGAGGGCATATTTTACTTTAGACATATCATGGATTCATTATTGCAAATGTGAACAATTCAATTGCCTAAATAAAAATGTTTTGTCAAATAATAACATTGGAAAAGAGAGAGCATATATAATAATAAAGGGAGGGCATATTTTACTTTAGACATATCATGGATTCATTATTGCAAATGTGAACAATTCAATTGCCTAAATAAAAATGTTTTGCCATAATTATAGTCGTGATCAAAATAATTAATCACGTTGATAAGTATACTCCCTAAAGCTCATATTGTGGATAAGTGCTATGGTTAAGCGATTATCTATGATTGTCAGCACCTGCATGAAAAGAAAACAAATTTGAAAATGGATTGGGCAAACTTGGAAAAGATGGCTGGATTAAGACTATTATCCTAAGTTTATGTGGGATGTCATTCCACAGATAAGTCTGTGTCTTCGTCAGATTCCTTAAGGGGCATCATTCACAAATTAAAATACGTTTTATCAACTGAGATGCTTGCAAATAAGGTTTTTTATATTCAACCCCCCTTTAAAGCATTCATATTAAGGTTGAATCATACGCTGAGATCACATTTTTACCAGCGGGAGCCGGTATCCCTCGCCCAGGCACAAGGTCCACAACTTCCTGAAAATACGAGACAAAAGCCAGAGGAGACACTGGACGACGAAGAGACCTGCGATTAACCCCCATATGTACTTGGCAAACGCTTCCGGTTCGTCCCAATTCAGGAAGAAATAGGCGTACTTGGCACCATCTTTGTCATACATTCCCCCGGCAGCGTAAAAGATCCCCGTGAATATGATGTAGACGGAGGAGTAGATGAAAGGAATGTAGAAATGGTGAATCCGAAACGGACGGAGGTCAATGCATAAGTTCATCATCGCTTGAAGGGCATTTGAAATGTGGACCACTCCATTACTCAATGACACTTCGCCTCCGGGATCTAAAATGGAGTTAACAATAAAATAAAGCACGATCGTCGTATCTCATTGACGGAAAAAACGTCGAAATTACAAGGATGAGTTCCATAACCTTACCGAAAAGAAGACTCCAGTAAGCAATGGTGACAATGAAGGCAGCATTATGGGAAATGTTCCCCAAAATCCAAGAGGACTTCAAGGCCCAATTCATCTCGTCCGGGACTACATGATAATAAAAAAGTCAAGATATCAGATTTTGAATGGTTTTCCTACAGCAAAAGGGAAAGTTAAAGAGAGATCTAACGAACCATATGTCGCCGTCTGGTAATAGTATAGGGTGATACAGGCCTTGAGAAAAGTGTCGAGGAATAGAGTTGTCAAAGACCAGTACGTATAGGTGGTATAATGGTAACGCACATTCGGAAAGGTGAAAGTGTAGATCATCCAAGCCAAGAACAATAGGGCATGAATGAGTCTCAGCGACACGGTTATCAGATGAGGTCGAGTCCCACCATCCCACTGAAAATGTTCATGCATTTTCTATAGTAACTGACATCTTTTGTCAGTCGATTATGTAATATACGTCCAAAGGTAGAGGAGAACATTGTCTGACTAACCTGGGCTCGGATGAATTCCGTCGGTTCATGGTATCCTAGAAGGAAGTCAGTTTTCCGAATGGCAAACTTCGATGCTCCCATTTTGGTGGGAATAAGTGGCGTATTCTCATCTGGCTCTTTTCTTTTCTGCCCGTTCTCCCCTTGTAACATGGAGTCACACAAGGACAAGATGACAACGAGGGGGGCAACTTGACTATCTACGTCCTTCATCCCGATTTACTTCATGCTTTTCTTTTCATCTTTATCAGCTCGTACGATAAGTGTCGACTCATGATAAAGGATCCATTTTCATTCGAGTAAGAAACCTATTGTAGGATCCATTTCCATTCGAGTACGGTAAATCCCGCCTTTTCTGTCTTGAAAATACGAGGTGAAATCACAGATGAGCAAGAATGTCCACTTTCTTTGAAAACCGAAAAGTTGTAAAAACTTTCGCTCCTATTGAAATACCAGATTTTTTAATCATGGTCTTTCAGAGCTTCCGCAAAACTGGAGAAACCTTGGGAATGCGGTCGTCGGTCTCGTTATCATCTTGTTCATCGCTAAAGAACTAGACTCTCAAGTCCAAGAACTTCTCTACCTGTTCAAGTGGGGGCCTCCTATCATGTAAGGCCCTAAGTAAGAATTTTTAGCCAATATAGATGCACTGGACTGAAGGACACATTTGGACATGGACAAGGTCCACTATACATCCTCCTTTGACATCCAAGGATAATTCTTGAACATGTCCATTGGATGGTCAATTGGAGTTCCGTTTTTTCAGATCCATTGAATCAATAGGCGCGGTAGAGCCTATTACCTTTCTTCAACCCCTTCACGCAGGAAAATTCAACCTCCTCATATTCCTCTCTTGGAGCATCAATAGAAAAGAAATTTGGCATACCACAGAATCGCTGCAGCAAATTTGAAGCTCCATCTCCCTGGGGTTGTGGAGAACACTGAACCTCGTTTTTGGAGGATGTGGATTTGGTTCCTTTTTTTTTTCTTTCCCCCCCCGGGTAGCCACTTCTGGGTGGTTTTCGGAGAAAAGAGACCAACCATAAGAAAGATATTGACTCGTACAGTAGATGACGTAAAGTGGCTTTTTGTTGTTTGCGATGCTCCATTCCGCCAGTAAAAAAATTAAATTAGCTGTCGTTCCATTAGGCTTTGAGTGCTGGCTCCGGTACCGTCCCTCAGTGTTGCCGGATACCGTGTCGAAATTATGCCAGATGACTGTTTCATCCTTCATTTTGGCGTCTGAACCTTCTGGTTTTTTTTTATGAATGAGACATTTTTGAGGTGAGTTCACGAGTTGAGCTGAGAATGAAGCGGTGGTTAGCAGTTATTGATTGATGTGGTGCGATATGTAGATATCTTATCCGGACATCCCTGAATTAGCAGGATGTCGCGTACCATGGATTGCATGCTTCTTGAAGGCATTCTCTCCTCAGACTTATTCGAGATGGTTCGAGTAACTCCAGATAGGCTTAACGTTCCACGTCCCACTGAAATGGTTCATGAAACGCGAAACAGTCCTCCAATCGGTCTAACGTTACACGTCGAAGGGTTGAAGAAAACGATATAAGATGACATGTACCAATTAAGGAATCGGATTAATTAAAAACGATATGAACACGTCTATACAAACCATGCTAAGAATGTGCTTACCTATGACCTGCACCACCAAAAATCACAGTATTTTCCAGGACCACGTTTATCTATGATTTAAAGAAGTTTGAAGACGGAGTGGTTGCACTTGGAAAAAGAATGGTCAGTATCATGAGCCAGCTGCTGCTCCATTGTCCACACCAAGTCAACGATGGTTTCCTTCGAAAAACGAAACCTTCTTCTGAATTCGTCGCCATTGAACCATTCAAGAGGATTGAGCCGATCTGTTACAGTCCTCCTGGCAGTTTGGTTCAGCATCAAAAACTCCTATCTCTTCATTAGTTTCCGTTTCCACCATCGCTTGGTGATGTGAGGCAGATAATTGAGGTCCACTTTGGCAAAAAAGCACGCTGAATTACCTCTGAGGATCTGTTGAGGGAAATTAAACCTGCAATGGAACATGTTCATCTTTGAAGATCAGTTTAAAAAAGAAATAAACTGATGGCATTTCGTGCACATCGCAAATCAGTTCAACGACGAGTTTAACTGATTCTCAAACATATTTGCCTGGAATCGGGTCAGTTTAGCTCCTAAGCCGCATTCACCCATAGGGATCCCCGAGTGTGACGGAAAAATAAATACTCGAACGGAAACAATTCTGACTATGATTTGGACTCAGGAAAATGAGAGAAAAGCTCCTTCACGTGCTCTAGTCGGAGGGCTCGATTCAGAGATTTTCTCATGAAGCCAAACACGAACGAGTAATGCATAACGGGGGGTGGACCGTCTTGCTGGAACCACTCTGGTAGCTGGTGACTTGAGTTCATCAAGTTGAGGCATAAACTCAACTAACATGTTCATGTATCGCTCACCATTCAAAGTTCTCTCAAAGAAAAACGGTCCTAAAATATGCGCACCCCATAGTCGGCACTACATCAGAAGTTTATGAAATCCTTTCTGTTTGGTTTGTGAAATCCAATCTATTGCGAGCAGTGACGCATATTCTTCTTAGTAAATTTCCCCTGTTACACCTTCCACAAATATGAGTTTCGATATATTCCCATTGGGTAATGATTTCTCGGACAACTTGTCGGCCTGCTGAATGAATTCGACAATAGAGCGATTCATTTTGGGTCACTCGGATCATCAGCTACTTTGGGCGACTCTGACGTGAGTTGGAATTAAGTTGATCGCTATCAGATCACCATCGTGTTCCAGGTTGTACTCAATCACTCCGTGCAATTCTCTTGATGTGATACAATGGATATATTATGACGCTCAGTTTTTGAAGAAGTTCTTTCAGTTCAGACGTTCGGATTGGGAAGCTTGTGATTTCCGAGGAGATGTGGGAATTATTTTCAGAGTATTAGTCGAAATTCAGGTTTACGTCCTCTTTGTCGTAAATGTTTACGAGGAAGAACCTGAAAATTTCGAAACACATCGACAGGGAATATCCATTGCTCGCTTCTTGACGCCCATCTAACGTCGAGAAGAGTTCTTGAGATCGCCAGAAAAAAAATTCAAAATCGTTTCAGAGACAAAATAAAAAGAGGCTGAACACTTGTTTCCTACTATGAAGGAGGGTCAGAAGGAAATCAGCGAAAATGTCTTATCCCGCGCGGAATAGAACTGGAAAGGGATATCCCTAGATAAAGCAACATCCCTTTCCACAGTGGAAATTACTTCAAAGTTTCAAATCAAAGCAGAATATTGTCCACGTATTTTCCAGGTCCTTGGGGCCACACGAAAGTGTACCTTCAAAAGAACAAGATATCTATAGTTACTATCGACGGGTGGATCCTTCACCGTATCCTGCAGGAATTTTCCCAGGGAGATGGTTTTCTCCACCTAGAAGGTGAGTGCCAGGGCTGTCTAACTGCGTCCTGCTTCTTTCTTATATTTCTTGCATCTCGGCCCACCTCTGTTGCAGATCCATCCATCCAGTGTGACTGTGGTTTATCCTGGCTGGCATTCTCTCCTGAATTGCTGAAAAAGATAAACGGGACATGTGAAAATGGGACTTATTTGAAATACCCTGATCTGGCGGAATCCCTGAAAAAATGTCACAGCGAAGGAATGAAATGTCCAAGCCGTCCTCAGTGTCCCAACGGCGTGGGAGGTCTAAAATGCATCGAATCGCAACAGGCTTCCTTGTGCGATGAAGGTACTCTCATCACTTCCTTTGCCTGTCCGAATGAGACCCAAGTCTGCTGCATCAGCTCCTCTGCATTAGTTTCACCTCGCCCTGGAAGTGTAAGCCTATATTCGGCCATCCATACCATAATGCCTGTCGGGTAAAACGAGTCCTGTCGGGTAAAACATTAACGAATCGGAGGAATGTTATTGTAGGCAGAGGTGACCGGCTGCGGACCACTGCCTGGCATCTCAAACGGACGCTTCCATATTCTCTCTTGCTCTAATGTTGGGCTGAGGTAGGTATTATTCAACCATGCACTCGTGTTTTTTCTGGTAGGACGGGATTTCTTCCCATTCTTCATGAAATTACACATGCCAGAGTTACCATGTAATTGCATGACTACCGAGGGAATTGAGACAGGTTTATGGTGCATCTCACGATGGAAATTCGGTTTTGGTATAATAAAAATTCCTTTCAGTGCAAGTTAAAAAGATCCTTAAAGCGATCCTACGCAGCCGTTTATTATGCGACCTAAACTTCCTGACAAGGATTGGCAATCTTTCATTAATTTCAGGCCGGATCAACACGACTTCTGCTTTATGGCTGGCCGGAGTGTATTATTGCTTGTGGTGCTGATCTGCCCGGAGGCAGGAGTACGAGGTTTTGAAAAGAATAAATCAAATATAAAATAAATATCCTCTTTCCTTTGCGTGCTTGGCTGGCCAGATGAAATCTCTTCGCGGGTCGTAGGTTGCCGACCCCTATCCTATGAAGTTGGAAAGGCAGAACTGGCTTCTGACAAACCCCTGTATTTCTTTTAGTTCCAAAAACAAAACGGAATGCATCCAAGGTGGGAAATACCTAATCGGAAGTAAAGTGAAACACACGTGTGAGAATTATTACACTTTACGGGATCCACGTGTTCGGACGTGTGGAGCGAATGAAAAATGGTCTGGCATTGAACCTTTCTGTGAACCTGGTCTGTTATTATCAAATAGAATAGAATTTGCACATTGACGGGATTGCATGGTGGGGTCTCCTGCTCTTTTAGAGTGCGGCCCCAGGTTAGAAGAGTAGATAAGGTTGGGTCGAAAGCGAAGCCCAGAATAATGGCGGTTCTAGCCCTAGGGCAAATGACGTCACTGGTATACACCAGCCCCGACTGCTCCTTTCTCGCCATTGGTTTTCCTCCGATGTAATGATACTACTTGAAGCATAATGTCCACATTTCGTAAGCAATCGCTCATTTAAAAAAAATATCCCTTAAATTGAGGAAGGGAAAGCATCGAATGGAAAAGCGGCGGGGAGGATTCCGTACTGAAAAGTTTGAGGGGGATGCAATTGCAGTGAGAATATATTATTTACTGAAATTGTTAACATGTGTCATTTGCCCTTTTTAAATGGCAATGAAAATAAGCGTTCATTGTCAGACTTCCTCTGGAATAAGTGTGTTGAGTTAAAAGGTGACTACATTGAAAAATAA